TCATATTATTTCTATATCATTTTGATTCCAATTACATTATTTTTTTGCAATCGTTATGGTTACAGCGCCATTTAGCCCAAGACAGACAAAACTTTCTGACCCAGATAGAGAGCCTCTAATTTCAGCAGCCTGGCAACCGAAGCTGGCATCCACTGTCGTTCTTGCGCCAGATGAAGAATTGCATCGACGATTAGTATGGCGGTATTGCACTAGGCGAAGTAAACAAGCCATAGCCGCATATCAGCGCCTTTGCATGGCTGGCTACCGACGAGGAAATCCTTGTGAAAAAGAATGTGAGTTTGAGCTTCCATTTATTGCTTTTATTTGCAAATATATCTGGGTTTGCCTGGCGCTTGAATTGACCAATGGATTTCCACTAGTTTTAGTGCAAGATACATCACTAAGAATGCACAGCCATACCTTAAATTTTAGGCCCTATCAAAACACGTTAAACGTTAGCTCTATCTTCTGAATCTGCTTTTCCCTCCCTTAACTTGTCTCTTTCATCTTTGGGCTAATTTGCATCCTTCTGCAGACTACAAGATCGTTTATCCGGCCAAAGTCGAGGTATTTGACTCTGAAAAGCAGGTGGGAGCACCGATAGCATTATCCTCCAATTCTGACTCTGCCGGTTCTTTTTCCGCCTCGGTCGCTGTAGTACCTGAGGCGCCATCGACACCTGACACTTCACTGTCTGTGGAAAACCTTTATTTGCTGCCACTTCATGTTTGGCGTGTATGGCAGTCACGCTTCTACATCTGGCTTGCTGGCTGGGTTGACCGGATGAATAGGAAAACACGTCAGCTAATGGCAGCATCAATTCGTCAAGAGGCAGCAGCAACTTCCTCTGGTGCCGTCGGTTCTGCCTCTGGTGTCAATGGCGGTGACCAGGACAGAACTAACTTGACCGCTGTCAGCGCAGGAAAATGCAAAGAAGAAAATACTGAAGAAAGACAGGAATACACAAAAGATGATGACTCCTTTAGTGATGGTGAAGAGGACACAGGCCATCGAAATCAAGCAGGGGAACGGACTTCCGGTGGCTTATCTCCAAACTCAGAGCGAATTGTATTATCATCTGACTTGCCTGCCGATTTCAGACCAATGACGGTGGTAGAGGTTAGTCTCTCTTTTGTTGTCCCCCTTAGTTCCACATACTGCTTTCAGAAATTATGTTTATTATGACCTAATTGAATTAATTTTTATCAACTTGAATTTTTTATAGAAGTTGTTTGACCTTGTAAGGAAGACTTAGAGGAACGAACCTAGTCTGGAGTCCATTGTATGCATCATCATTTCCAGAGTAGGACCATTGACGTGGTACATTCCTATTTGGCCTTTTTGAATTATTGCAAACATTATGGTATCGTTCCCCGTTTCTGCAATACAATGAGGAAATGTCATTCGGACACAGTTAATGAAATACTTTATCACGCATGCATCCAGAAATTAGAGGAAAGTTACTAGACTGAGAGGCGTAAGCTATTTAAGTTCATAGATCTCAAGTCTAAATTAAGGAAGGATCTATGTATGGTTCTCACTTTGGATGATTTAAAAAAACTCTAGAGCATGACGGACCAGAAGTCACAGAGGGTCCGGGATCTGATAAATAAGCGGCATGACAGGAAATTGTTTAGCTATCGCATAATAAGACAGCGCAAGACCAAGCCAACCCGGGCAAATTTTGATCGTTCTTTATTGAAGGCATCAACTGCCAGAGACGACGATAGGACTAAGGTAGTGAACCTATCTTTAATCCCTCTGGATTCTGAAACTACACATCTTTTAAGAAGGGGCTACATTTTTCAGTAGGTAATGAAGGAAACGTTCTTAATGCTATTCTGGTGAAAGTTGTCAAAACAACGGATAAATATCCAGAAGATACAAGGCGGGAGATGGAACAGGAAATAATCCCACGAATCCTGACACATCAAGAACCGATACACGGGAGCAAATTGGCTGGTATACGAAAAAAAATTACAAAAGAATGAT